GACGTATTGTGTTCAACTCAATTTATTCCTCAAAATTTACTACAGTACATTTACCATCATAAAAGCTGCAGAAACCCTATTTATAGCTCAACTGAAGTCATTTCATAATTGATGAATATTAACACTGTTATTTTCCTGTTTATTACTGTGAAGCTGCTTTGAAACAATCAGTATTGCATAAAGCACTATATAAATAAATGTGACTTGAAATGACTAATCAGAAAAAGACACTTACTGATGTCTTCAATAACAACGGTGTTGTCCATTGACACATACACAGCCATAGTATTCCAGTCATCAAACAGAGCAAGTTTCCTGCAAGACAACGGACATTTGCTGTTAGTTCAACCAAAATGTCATGTTCAAACTATGAGATTTAAATGGTGCTTTCTGGGCTTGACAACCCCTTGTGACTACATGCTTTCATTATATGGAATACAGCTGTGTGATCATCTTCAAAACATCTTCTTTTGTGCTCCACAAGTTGTATGGTTCGGAGGGTGAGTAACGATGACAGATTAACGCTTTTCTGGGAACTACTAATTTAAAACGGCGCTTCTCACGGTGTGAAAGAATCAAAAGAATACTGACTTAAATTTCTCTGTTTCTCACACAAAGCTCTTGATTGTCTTCAGAAGAACTGGAGTGTAAAGAGCACAAATTATATGGACTATTTTATGGCACTTTATAGAGCTTGACAATTACAATCAACATCCTCTCATCCTTTTTTCTGTTAAAGAAGTAGTTCAGCCAAAAAATAAAATTTGCTTAATATTTACTAACCCTCAGGTCATCCAAATGTTTCTTCATGGGAACAGATTTGTTGAAATGTAGCATTGCATCACTTGCTCAGCAATGGATGCTCTGCAGTGAATGGGTGCCGTCAGAATGAGAGTCCAAATCGCATGCGATTAATCGTGCAGCCCTAGTCCAAACGGCTGATAAAAACATCACAATAATCCACAAGTAATCCACACCACTCCAGTCCATCAGTTAATGACTTGTGAAGCCAAAAGCTGCGTGTTTGTTAGAAACAAATATCATTAAGACATTTTAAATCTTCAAACTGTTGCTTTGGGCTAAAATAAAATAAATTAAAAAGTTGTCTGGTCTGAATCAGGAGAGAAATTTGCACCGATCAAGCACCGTTTATAAGTGAAAACAGTCTAAAACAGCTCTAAACAAATATGTGGGTAGATTTTGATGTGAGTGAACAACAAGTGACAGCAGTATTATGGATAGAAGACGCATCAAGTTGTGTGGATTACTTGTGGATTATTGTGATGTTTTTATCAGCTGTTTGGACTCTCATTTTGACGGCACCCATTCACTGCAGAGCATCCATTGCGGAGCAAGTGATGCAATGCTGCATTTCTCCAAATCTGATCACATCTTGGATGGCCTGAGGGTGAGTAAACTTTCAGCAAATTTCATTTTTTGGGTGAACTATTCCTTTAAAAAATAAAGCTGAAAAGAAACTGCAGAAAATTTAATTCATTTAAAATAAAACTTTTAGCATATTGCATACTCCTGTTTTTTTCTCATTTAAAATTAGAAAAATAAATACACTTTTTATTTTATTTTTTTTTAAGACAGACCATCAGATTTGGGAGGGGGGAATTTTTAAAACAACTGCAAGAGACAAATGTGTCCAACAACAAAATATTATTTTAAAGATATCAATCTTAAAGAAAAATGACACTTGCTTGAGTACTTGCGCCACTGTGTTCGGTCCATACCATTCGCCAACAGACTTGCCCTCTCCAACGCCCATCTGAGCTACACAAACAGGGCACACAATACTCGTGACTGCAGTACCACTGCGATATACAGTACCCACACACACACAGAGACTTTCAGATAGACAATGCAATGATATGCACTTGCTGTGAACTAATGGTTTTTAAACAACAAAACATATGCAATGAACATTGAGAGGGCTGGGCCAATAATAACGGTCACAACACAATCACACACACACATACACATACACATTATATGCCTTACCCATCTGATGGATAGAGTAGCAGCTATCCTTCTTGTCTAAAAAGCAGTGCAAGATGCGATGATACTCTTTGGGCTGACGCTTCTCTGGATCCCATCTCCAATCTAGAACACACAGTAAAGTAGAGCACTTCAAAGGTGCAGTATGTAATACTGCAGTCCAAATTCAAAATAGTGGAGAGAACCTTTCACTGGACTCTAGTTTTCACCCTACTACTTGGTTTGGATATCATTTCTAGATCAACAATCACACTGGTACATTTAGCAAAAATACAGAAATACTGTGAATTCAGTGTAGTATAGTATGAGTAGTATGGTAGCAGCTATTCCACACACTCGTTATCGGTAAGAAGCTTCCACGTTTGCTTACCTCGACCGAGGTGCCTGCAGACCAAAGCCTGCGCGAGGATCATCTGTCCACAGCGGAGCATGCAGCCCCAGCCCGCGTCTGATGAAGGGCCTGTTCCTCCTGCAAACCACAGACACACACCCTCCTCAGCACACTAAGCATCCTCTAATCAAGACAGAAGTCAGCTCCACTCCATTTAGTTAGACTAGTTTCCCTGCCACTTACCTATGGGAGAAAACTTTTTCCTATATGTGAACCACAGTCGTGACCGCACATCCGAGAGCAGCTCCGATTTCTCTGGAAGATGATCGTTGATAATAATCAGTAATGTTTCTTGAGCAGCAAAGCAGCATATTAGAATGATTTCTGATGGATCATGTGACACTGAAGACTGGAGTAATGATGCTTTGATCACAGGAATATATCATACAGTATATTCAAACAGAAAATTATTGTTTTCAAATTGTAAAAATATTTCACATGTATTTACTGTATTTTGATCAAATAAATGCAGCCTTGGTGAGCAGAAGAAAGTGTTATAACAGTAAATGATGCATAGTTAGAAACAACTAATCCGAACCCTATGGTAACTATATTTTGTTCATTAATAGTACTCAGTACTTGTGTATAATTGTATAATTACACTGTAACAAGGATGAGTGAAACCCAGATTTAATATCTTAAGTGGTTAACTGATAAGGCGTTTGATGGCTGATGCCGATACAGATGTAATTAGGCAAAATGCAATTTAATAAGAGTGAATGTGTTGATATAGCTAATTAATTCTGAAAGCAAAATGCCACTACATTATGGATATGTGGCCTGTCTTACTTGTTTTAAAGGTGACATATTATGCCCCTTTTTACAATATGTAATATAAGTCTCTGGTCTCCCCAGAATGTGTCTGTGAAGTTTCAGCTCAAAATACTCCACAGATCATTTATTATATCATTCTGAAAATGCCTATTTTGAGTGGAAGCAGAAACACGCTGTTTTTCGGGCCTGTGTCTTTAAATGCAAATGAGCTGCTGCTCCCTGCCCCCTTTTCCAGAATAGAGCTGCGCCTTTACAGCTCGTACCTGCTAAAAACATCTGTTTTGGTTCTGATTATCACGTTTATCTTGCTGAAATCATGCGTTTTAAACCATATTAGTTTAAACTTCTGATATACGGTTTTCTGAGCGCACACATCCGAAGCACACGCACAGAAAGCGGCTGTCACAGCATGTGAGTACTAAACTAAGTTCTCATTCACACACAAGTTTACGTTAAAAACATGAGTTACAAAACAGTCGGTTATGTCTGTGAAGGTAAACAGCTGGGAAATAAATCACATGTTTATTTTAGATCTGTGTGGCAGCAGCAATATACAGTAAATAAATCAATAAATCCACTGCTCTCTTGTCTCCTCTGAGGTTGGGACTCTAAACAGTGTTCTGTGCTCGTCTGTGCAGCCAAACACAGAAGAGTTAGCCTGTTTTGCTCAAACTTTCGCCATGGCATTAGAGCTGGTACACCGTTGTCGCTTGCAAAATCAAAATGACGGTGCTGTGGGTGGAAACTTACAGATTAAAGGGCGGTAATATTATAATGAGATCCCTTTGGGATCAAGGGAGCGAAATCTGACGCGCTCGTTTTCTCAGACGCTTGCAGAAAAAGGCTTACCAAAACAAAGTTACTGGGTTAATCTTTTTCACGTTTCCTTGGTTGGTAGATGCACTGGGGACCTGATTATAGCACTTAAAACCTGGAAAAGTCAGATTTTCATCATATGTCACCTTTAAGATCATAACATGCTCCCAAGATCCATACTGGCTCGTCTACATCCGGCAGGTCTTCTAGGAACTCCGAGAATAGGTTGATTTGATTCTCATACTTGGCTAGAACTGGAATAATTGGTGACACGTTAGTGTTGTGACACAGTCACAGTGAAATCCTGATAAAACAACACATAGCAGCCCTTCATAATTAGGAGGACTAGCAGAGGTACTTCTGACATAAACATCTCTCACAAAAACAATGGGATGGCCTCAGATGCTAATACCATGGCTCTTGCATATAATAAAATGACATTTATATACCATGTATTTACTGGGTACTATAAGGTACTTGAGTTCCATGGTACATAACATGGTATAAGTCCACAAACATGGTAATTTTTTTGTTAGTGCCAGTGCCAACATACAGCGTAATAATAACTTTGGTCATCTGAACCACAACAACAACAACAACGACTCGTGAAGCAGACGAACTTATATTATTTACAAGTGAGAGATGCACAGGCCACTGAAGAACAATGAGAAAACTTGAAACTCAGTTACGAAATTTCCTCGGTATGAATCCCTAGCAGATCTCAGTATACTTTTATCGACGCTTTTCTAACTTAAAACATCACCTGAACGTTGTTAGCCGAACGAATCGATAAATCGCTGATCAATTTCGTATTTTAAACCATAAATTCCCTACCTGCCTCCATCCTCGGCCGTCATCGGATACAAATACATCGCGGTGCATTGTGGGTAACGCAGTCCATGTCTGAGTCGTTCTAATAGTCAACAGCGCCAGAAAAACTACACTGACCAGATTTTGAGGTTGAGACGCGGAAGTCTAATATATATATTTTTTTTTTATCATAATAACATGCACTGGGGCTTGTAGTCTATTGACCCTCCATATTTGTACGTCATTTCATTTCTATTTTCCCACAATAGAGGCTGAGAAAGCATCGGATTTTATAAGATACTTTCAAGATATCACTCCGAGGTATTGATTTACCTTCTGTAGTATTATAAAGGAAGTTATTAGATGGTGTTATTGGTTACAGACGTGTGTTTTGTTGATTAACATACTTGCTTGACCAAGCTAGTCCGCTAGCTACAGTAGTAATCATTCGTGAAGTTTAGTTGTCATGTAATCTAAATTGATATTTCCAGCATAATTTAATAACCTTTATTTAATAAACTTTTACCGTTTTTGAAGCTTTAACCTATGCATAAATCATTCATTATAAATGCATGCTAACATAGAGATTTGAGGTGTACTTTAGATGCTGTAACTGTGTTTTTAGCCTTTTTAAAGCAGCTATTTACAGTTAATTAATGGCTGTGTTAATATGGGGACTGCATAATGATTATAAAGAAATTAGAGAAGTAGTTTTTTTAATTATAGCATTGTGATGTGTCATGTCAGCTGTTCCAAATGTGATTTTTATCTCCAGATCTCAGATATCAGGTGCAAAATGTCCTACGTCTTCATCAACGACTCCCTGCAGACCACCGTGCCACTGCTGCAGGCCTGTATCGACGGGGATCTCGCTCACACTAAGCGGCTCCTGGAGTCCGGATTCGACCCAAACACCAGGGACTGCCGTGGACGGACCGGATTGCATCTGGCTGCCGCTCGGGGAAACGTGGAGATCTGCTCTTTGCTGCATAAGTTTGGTGCTGATCTGTTGGCCACTGACTCACAGGGCAACACGGCACTGCATATGTGTGGCCATGTAGACACCATCCAGTTCCTGGTGTCCAACGGCCTCAAGATTGACATCTGGTCAGTGTCTTTATGATCTTGTGAGGGTACCATGGTACAGTGACTATATATAATGATACTGAATTACCATACTCCTATACCATGGCTTTCACGTGCTATTCCATGGACAAGTCAAAAATGTCATGACACTTACATATATTTTATTATGTTTTTTCACATTTTAGAAAAATCAAAACTATGAAATAACAGATGGAAGTATAGGAATTCTGCAGTGGTTTTCAAACTTTTCAATGGCACAGACCCTAAAATACAATGATCACATAAAATATAAAGGTGGATAGAAAATATTTTTTAAAAGAAATGAAATTAATGTTTCTTTTCAGCAAATTGGTCAAAAGGGACTGTACAGACATTTATGATGTTACAAAAGATTTCATATAAATGCTGTTTTTTTTTTAACACAAAACTGTTCAACATTGATCATAATCTGAAATGTTTCTTGAGCAGCAAATCAGCATATTAGAGCGATTTCTGAAGATCATGTGACGGAAGACTCGAGTAATGATGCTGAAAATTCAGCTTTGCCATCACAGGAATAAATTACATTTTACAACATATTCACATAGAAACAATATAATAATATTTCACAATATTTACTTGTTTGTATTTTTGATCAAATGCAGTCTTGGTGACAATAAGTGTTTTTTAACATTTAAAAAACATAAAAAAATTAAATAGTGGTGTAAATGTGAAAAATAATAATGTGTACGATATTACTTGGAAAGTACTGGTCTCAGGATTTCTGGCCAGTCTTTAAGCATAATATCACATTCTGAAAATGATGAACATTTATTTATTGTATTTTAGTATTGTTTTTGTATTTGTTTCTTCCCACTTTCTTCACTCTCTTTTTTTAGACTCCTTAGCACCTCTTTGTGGTCTCCTGAGGGCCCTGGACCCCAGTTTGAAAACCCCTGACTAACAGTACTCGTATTACAGGGCCAGTTCCAATGCACAGCGATGAAGATTCATGAATTAACCTTTAGTCACCACAAAAAATCTGACCGCTTCATGTCCGTGCTTTTTGATCTGAACAGTAATCACAACGGAGCCACTCCGCTGGTGCTGGCCAAGAGACGCGGTGTGAATAAAGACGCGCTCCATCTGCTGGAGGGGCTGGAGGAACAGGAGGTGAAGGGCTTCAACCGCAGCTCCCATTCCAGTCTGGAGAAGATGCACATGGCTGAGAATGAAAGGTGAGATGATTGCCATTACCTATTTTATACAATCCCAATGTTTCTTTCCTTGCAGAGGTGTCTTTGAATTGGTCTTCATAAGTGTTTTTACTCATTACCGGCTGCTGTATCTCCTGCAGTGCCATGGAGAGCCACTCTCTTCTCAACCCACACCTGCATCACAGCGATGGCGTGTTGTCCAGCTTCCGCACTACATGGCAGGAGTTTGTGGAAGATCTTGGTTTCTGGCGAGTGCTCTTGCTGCTCCTCGTCATTGCCCTGCTCTCACTCGGCATTGCGTATTACGTCAGCGGAGTCTTACCTTTCGCATCTAATCAGCTGGAGCTTGTGCACTAATATAAAAATGTGAAAGCTCATTAAAAACATTTTTTTTTTAATCTTGCATTAGCTGATGATTGTTCTTATACAGTTACTGATTGTGTGTAACCACGCTTTAAATTGTAATCATACATTCTGTGACTGAATTTTAAAATATTTTTGTGTATATGAATGTAAATAGACCTTTAATGTGCATCTTGTTTGTGTGTTTGGAAGGATCTTTTTATTGCCTATTCTGCACTCACTCATGTTATCGTTTGTGTAGCAGCCCACATCACCACCTTTTTTATTTTATTTAAATTATTGGATTTACACATTAAAGTTTTTGTGATTGCAAAAAGGTGTTTTATATGAAGTTTAAGCCTTGCACTTTAACAATGGTGTATGTGAAGTGGTTCAGGCTCATTCCTACAGTTTGGTGGATTTTATGTCCCCATGAAACAATACTTCAGATTTGACATACAATGTTAATCAACTTTAATGCCACATAGATGTACCCCTTTAACAGAAAATCATGATTAATACCTAAAAATAATAATAATAAAGCACTTAACAGACAATTTCCCATGTCCCTAATCCTGTTTTCTCAACTTCTCTTTGAAATAAAGTTTACATATACATTTTCAAATGAGCGATTATTACTATTAGTATGCACATTTACTTATTCTCTTTGACGTAAAATACAAGTTATGTAAAACCATTAAATTAGTTTATGTCCCTTAAAGTCCACCCTCTCACATTGCTAGATGTGACACTGGAAGGAAAACAACTCCAAGAATAAAGTGAGCAATAGTCATAAACTTTTCTCTATTTTCCTCTTTTTTAGAAGATTTATCTAATAGTGTAAATAGCATTGTGTCAATATATACTGGGCATTAATATATATATATATATATATAAAATTCTTCCTAAATGTTAATCTTCTGCTTGCATGTTGTTCTTTTCTAGCTATAATGAGCTGCATTGCTTCATTGTAAAGATATCATAACAGAGTAGACAGATGTCATAGAGTTTGAATGTGAAATGTGAAGTATTTGGTCAGGATAGGTTCTACTACCCTGAACTGTGTGTTTTCTGAAAGACATTTTCTCCTTCTCATGAATTTAAAAATAATTGCATTTTTAAACATTTTCTTCAGCAAGCCTGTATGACTCTTCGTTACGCAACCTTATAATGCATTGATTGCATAAAAAATATTTTTTTATTAGATTGCAGAAATTCATTTCTCTATAGCAGTGTTTCCCAACCGGGGTGCCGCCAGGGTGCCGTCTGTCGAGAGCAGGGGTGCCGTGTAAAAAATCATTTTTTTATATTTTTAAATTGCTAAAATGTTCAAAAAAAGCATCTATTATATAATATCCATTTCTGATGTCGCCAATAATTAGAGATGGACTAAAAAAAGGTTGGGAAACACTGCTCTATAGTGACCTAGAAATTAATAAACGTTTGTTTTCATGACCAGCGCTGACGTAAACAGCGTGTGACGTGTTTGGTCGCGTCTGCCAGCTGTCCGCGAGTCTGAAGTGAGTGCTAGTCAGTTAGCCAGCCTTCCCTTTTCACTTCATCTAACTATGGTCTGAAGAGGAAACCATGAATCTCCGAGGCGTTTTTCAAGATTTCAACCCTAGGTAAGAACTGTGTGTGTTGCGTGAATGATGAAACCCAGCGCTTTGTTTTTAAATACGCTATCATTCACTTTGTTAGCTTAGCTGCTAATGTGCACCGCGCAGGCCTTTTTGGATTTGTCTTCGCGTAGTTTAGCAGCATTAAGCAGTGAGGCGGACGGCTTTAATACTGAACCCGACTCGCGTTTAGCACTTGACTTTAAATACCGTGCAGGTAACACAACACGCCAGTTTTCCTACTGCGCGGACGTTCAAAGCTTCTCTGATACTTTTCTCAGTCAGGCCCATCTCGTGCTCTTGACAGAAGTATGTTTGACAGACGTGTCCAGCTCGTGCTCTTAACGCATGTGTGTTGTTGTTGTCCTGCAGTAAGTTCCTGATCTACGCCTGCCTGCTGCTCTTCTCCGTGCTGCTGTCGCTGAGGCTAGACGGCATCATCCAGTGGAGCTACTGGGCTGTGTTTGCGCCCATCTGGCTCTGGAAACTCATGGTCATTATTGGGGCTTCCGTGGGCACTGGGGTTTGGGCGCACAACCCGCAATACAGGTCAGACACAACTCTTCCCTGCTTATGATCACGATGCTTGAGTCTCTAATGACGCCGCTTATTATTACTGTATCATATCTGATGCATGAATTGCAGAGGCCTTTAAATGATCAAAATTGCTGAAAAACCCTGTCTGAAATGCCTTCTGTCATCTGCTTGAAAGCTGCTGTTTAAGCAAGTAAAACACCTTTGGTAACAGTTTAGACTGGGGAACAGAATTACCTAGTTACCTATGTTACTAGAATATTGGCTGATTATTAGTACTTATACAGCACGTATTAACCCTCCTGTTGTGTGCAAATTGACCCCAAATATTTAAATATATCAATAAAATTCTCAAATTGGCAGTATAGTTTATTTTTATTTACTTACACTTTAAAGTGAAAGTGAAGTGACATGTGGCCAAGTATGGTGACCCATACTCGGAATTAGTGCTCTGCATTTAACCCATCCAAAGTGCACACACACAGCAGTGAACACACACACACCGTGAGCACACACCCGGAGCAGTGGGCAGCCATTTTTGCTGCGGCGCCCGGGGAGCAGTTGGGGTTTCGGTGCCTTGCTCAAGGGCACCTCAGTCGTGGTATTGAAGGTGGAAGAGAGAGCTGTACATTCACTCCCCCCACCTACAATCCCTGCTGGTACGAGACTCGAACCCACAACCTTTGGGTTACGAGTCCGACTCTCTAACCATTAGGCCACGACTTCCCCGATATTACCATATATGGTTGATATTACCAACCCTATATTTAAGGACAAAACACATTTTTTTTGTGTTTTTTATGTAATACATTTTTTAACATAGAAAAAAAACAAACATTGTCCTCAGTTTCTGAGATTTGTTCCTCTAAATCACTCACATCATCCAAATATTGCCCTAACATCTCACTCACAGTGTATCTTGCGGTCATTTTTCTTTAGACAGACAATGATAGACAAATGTCCCCACAAGGACAGTAAAACCTGAATTTTTTGACATTGTGGGGACATTTAGGTGGTCCCCATGAGGAAAACAGCTTGTTTTTTTTGTGTGTGGAAATGTAAAAATGCATGAAAGTCCCCATATACTATGGAAACCCAACAACAATAAATTTTGATAGATGCTTGTAAAAATGTGTGTACAGTGTTTGTAAACACATTCTTGTAGATAATGGTGTTTGAAACTCTGAAAAGGACAAAAATTGTCCTTCATATGCTGTACAGTAATAGTAAAATGTAAATGTATGCTAAGGCATAAATTATATTTATTCATTAGTAGGGCTGGGCGATATAGCTAAAAAATGTATCAACAATATAATGTTTCATATCGTTCGCTATCGAT